TTTGCGTTTGCTTCAGAGGTTTCAACAACAAACACACACAGCGTATATGAATACGCGTGCAAACCACGTATCATACACATTGCATATGATAGGCGGGGATCTCTTTGTATTCGAACCCAGTCAATGCAATAGCAAGACCAGGCGCCTTTAACCATTGAGCCATCACGCCATAGTTATAACAAATGAATACTTGGTTTCGTCGTTTTCTCGTTTTCAGGTTTAACTGATTTGAAATAACAGGACTACTCTTTCGCTATTTCCTGTTCCAAAATAACATTAAAAATTTGTCGATTACGTTGAGCTGTTAACAATGGACAAATGCCTCCATTTGACAAATTCTGATGTGACGCAGCATCATAAAAATAAAACTATTGACGAGCAACGTCCTGGATTGAACGTGCTGTTTCACTGACGGTATTTAATGCCAAAACATAAACATCTGGATCGACGCTAATCCGGTCCGTTTTGAGATGTAATTTTTATGTCACCTTGGGCCAAAAAACAATGAAGGAAGTTGAGTCATCAACTACCACTACGTGTGAAATTAAAACAATTTATATTAGTATAAATGTAATTCTTTTTAGAGAAGCCAACAAAAAACGGGGATATGGTACAAAAATTTGTAGCAAATAACTCTTTTAAAAAAAGAAAAGAGTGCCGCGAATTAAAACACGAGAATTAAAACATGAACATTTCTTTCGAAAGTAACACTAGAGTTTAAACATGCAGAATAATTTTAAAAGTATTTTTTTTAATTTTATTCCGTTTCAAAACATAATCTGAAAAACATCTAAAATTTAAAAAAGTCCAAAAAGTACAATCACGGTATTCTATTCTGGTATTGCCATTTTGTGTTAATCAAATTATAAACTATACTACAAGCAAAAGCAGGAATGACGTTGTAACACAACAGATACAGGAAACTTCAAAACTGTGGTGCACTTAGGTTGTTTGCGAGATAATAACAAGGACAAAAAACTTCCATAATTAAGTCCAATACTTCTTTGCAGTTCCTGTTTAATTCACCGAGTTCATTAAAATTAATTTATAAATCAAAGTGTAACACAATTTTAAAATATTCGATAATATACTGTACAATTTTTAAATTGT